TTCCAGTTAAATCAACTTAAAATTTAAAGGCAACCAGGTTACTTATTTTTTAAGTTAAACCATCAATATTTTTTTACAGTGTAAGCACTTGTCTTCATGGCAAATTTATTTGAACATAGCGGTGCATCACTAATATATATGACAAATCCCCAATGCTATGTTTCTTTTCATTTATTTTAAACAGACAGTAATCTGGATGATGTCTGCTATGTGTTAGTATGATTATTTAAAATAAAAAATAAGGAATTGTTGATTTGTTACTCTGATTCATCCTTCGCCTGGAGTTTGATTGACATGCGATCTGACCAATCACAACGCGGCAACGCCGAATCCACCGTTTTGTCCGACAAAGCAGTCAGGAGCGTTACCGCTGGTGTTTCGCTATATCTTCTGCCCACCAAGCCTTCATTTCTTTGATCCAAGAAAAAACTGTAACATTGTGACTATTATTATTATTTTAAAAACTATTTTCTATTTTAATATATTTTAAGATGCAATTTAAAAGTTTTGGGTAAAAAATAAATAATAAAGTGAAATGTTTTATTGTGTGTGATTTGCATGTTTAATTTATTTTAAGACATGTAAGCTGAAGATCTAAAATAAGTTAAAATGGTTGGTTCAACTGATTTAATTGTCTTATTTTTATATATAAATGAGCTTAAATGTTAAGTAAACAGAACTAAGATTTGTTTTGATCTCACATGGCCTGCACTGTGTTGGATTTACTTAAAAGATATATGTACCATTTTTGCGTCATACTTTTTAAGTAATCCGTAATCATTTAATTAAGTAAATTTTTAACTTGGAATAATTTTACATAAAATAAACTTAAATATTTTAGTTCACGTGACATTCTTTACTTAAAAATATATGTAATGTGATGCATACATTTTTAAGTAAAGAATGTTGCGTGAACTCAAATAATTAAGTACATATAACAAAGATTTTCTTGTTAATTTTAAGTAAAATTATTCCAAGTTGGGGATTACTTAAAAAGTATGATGCAAAAATGGTGCATATATATTTTAAGTAAATCCAACACATCATTTTTTAGAGTGAAATAAGACCCTTTTTCATCATCTGGTGTCGTTCAAAGTCCTTTAAAGCTGCACTGAAACTGTCTTTTGGACCCCATTGAAGTCCATTATATGGAGAAAATCCTGGAATGTTTTTAATGTATTTAAAAAATGTAATTTGAAAGCTGAATTTTCAACATCATTACTGTTGCTGATTACACATTAGTTTTCAGTGTCACATGATCCTTCAGAAATCATTCTAATACGCTGATTTTATGCTCAAAAACATAAATTATTATTTTCAATGTTGAAAACAGTCGTGTACCATTTTCCCCCCCAAAATTCTCTGATGAATAGAAAGTTCAAAAGAACAGCATTTATTTCAAATATAATCTTTTCTAACATTATAAATGTCTTAACTGTAACTTTTGATCAATTTAAGTCATCCTTGATGAATGAAAGTATTTTCTAATTTCTTTCCCCCAAAAATAAATAATAAATTCTAACTGACCCCAAATTTTTGAATGGGAGTGATTAATGTTACAAAAGCTTTCCATTTCAGATCAATTCTGTTCTTTTGAACTTTCTATTCATCAAAGAATCCTGAAATAAAACTGTTTTCAACATGGATAATAATCATAAATGTTTCTTATTATAATAATTTCTGTAGGATCATGCGACACTGAAGACTGGAGTAATGATGATAAATTCAGCTTTGATCACAGGAATATATTACACTTCACTATATATTCACATAGAAAACCGCTGTTTTAAATTATAATAATATTTCACAATATTACTCTATCAAATAAAGCAGCCTTGGTGAGCAGAAGAGACTTCTTTTAAAAACATAAAAAATCTTACCGATCTAAAAATTTTGACCAGTAGTGTATGTCAAGTGCCATCAAAACCTGACAACAATAGTACCATAAATGTATCTTCTTTATCTAAAATAAGGCAAATAATGTATTTCTCAGGTTGGTTTAACTAATGTTCTATAGAAAAATAACACGATGCTTTTATAAGGCATCACGGGAAATTGCATATCACGTGGCTCATATGGTACTTAAAATGATATGCTAGATTTACTTAATTTTGACGCAATTACTGTAGTAGTTGACATGCCTTATGTTTTTTTCATTTTAGTTATACATACATTTAAGTGCACCTAGTAACTTATATTTTTGTGTTACACACACTATATATGTTAAGTAAACGTTGAAAAGTTATGAATACTTAATTTTTTATGTTTGATCCAATTACTTTTATAAGTAATGGTTGTTCGGCCAACGAATCGTTTTTTAGAGTGAAGGCTGTTTTAACTCGTTCTCAATATTCAGTATTTTGCAAGTATATTAAAATAAATGGGAACTTAATTTTTGTATTTTTTTATGTGGCTGGAAAGAAATCAAATTTTCTCTATTTACCACGGAAGCAGATTTGAAATAGCATGAGAGTAATATAAATGTTTCCGTTTTTAGGTGAACTACCGTTTTAAACACTCGTTAAGAGCCGAAGCAGAAAGCGTGTGATGGAGAGGCAGAGAGCGATGGGGTTGAAGTCGGCGGACGTCTGCTTAACAGGCGAGCCAGAGGTTGCCAGGGCAACATAAACAATGTCCCGCAGTGATTAATGAGTGTGAGAGCGGGCGCGATGGCACAGGGTGGCAGTGCCAATTACCTCTCGCTCTCGCTCTCTCTCCGTCACGTGGAGAGCGTGTAATGGGACACAGCCTGTGGCGCTACACCGAGGCCAGGGGGTCAAAGATTTAATTAGGTGGGAGTAAATGTCAAGGGGAAGAAGAGGCGAGCGAGCGGCGATGTGTTGTGTGTGTGTTCCTTAGAAAACTCTTTTATGAGTGTGTGTGAAGATCTGCTATAGTATTAACTGGGGCCAGAAACGAGTATAAATATGAATATGTGTGTAAACATACGAACATCAAGATCTATGTTTGTGCTGATCCAGAGAGCCGTTGTCATATATTAATTATATACTATTCTCCAGCTATGAGTGTATAATGTTTATATGTATGAATATATTGATTTCTAAACGGCTATTAAAGCTTTAATCACAATAAATCCCAAGCAGAAAAGCAGGAACTGATCAAATGTGCATCTAGAAGCGGCTTTGGGGGAAAAGAGTCGGCCAAATGTAAATGTACAGTAGTTGTTATATCTTTAAGGCACTTGTGTTATATACAGTACACTACTGTTTAAAGGTAAAGAGCGTTTTATACAGCAAGGATGCATTAAATTGACAATAAAGATAAAGTATAATTCCAATACGGTGTACTTTCACTGCATCAAATAAAAATAAATCACGATATCCACAAAAATATGAATTGATAATAATCATAAATGTTTCTTGAGCATCAGATCCTCATATTAGAGTGATTTCTGAAGGATCATGTGACGCTGAAGACTGGAGTAATGATGCTTTGATGACAGGAATAAATATTCACATAGAAAACTGATATTAAATTCTAATAATATTGCAAAAAAAAAAATTACTGTATTTTCGATCGCATACTGTTAATGCAGCCTTGGTGAGCAGAAGAGTCTTATTGAAACCAAACTTTCTAAAAAAATTTAAAGTAGTAGTTCACTTTAAAAAAACTTTTGCTGATAATTTACTCACCCCCATGTCATCCAAGATGTCCACGTCTTTCTTTCTTTAGTCGAAAAGAAATGAAGGTTTTTGATGAAAACATTCCAGGATTTTCTCCATATAATGGACTTCAATGGGGACCAAACGGTTCAAGGTCCAAAATGTTTCAGTGCAGCTTCAAAGGGCTTGAAAAATGAACAAATATAATATATAATGGACTTCAATGGGGTCCAAACGGTTCAAGGTCCAAATGGCCTTAAACGAAGGGCTTTAAACGATTCCAGACGATGAATAAGGGTCTTATCAAGCGAAACGAGCGCTCATTTCAAGTTTTATAAGCTCAAATGCTCGCCTTGCTCAATGAACGAATCTTTTTTCAAGTCATTTTGTTCATTTCGTTCATTGATTGAACCAAATGACTCGAAAAAAGATTTGTTCATTTTGATGAACAGGAGAGTCATGAACGCGCGTCACAGAAGTGAGCAAGACGAGCATTTGTGCTTATAAAACTTAAACTTTATTTATTTTTGAAATGGCCGATGTTTTCGCTAGATAAGACCCTTATTCATCGTCTGGTGTAGTTTAAAGAAAAATCCTGGATTGTTTTCATCAAAAAACCTTCATTTCTTTTCGACTGAAGAAAGAAAGACATGGACATCTTGGATGACATGGGGGCGAGTACATTATCAGCAATTTTTAAAAAAAAAAAGTGAACTACTCCTTTAAGTGCGTCATTGAATCATTCACTCAAGAGATTCGTTCAAAAACACTGATTCATCCACTAATTGAACAATGAAGTGCCTACAGTATAAGTGTGCCACTGAATCATTCACTCAAACCACTTTCTAAAAAATAATTAATTCAGATTCATTAAACTGCAGCGATTAACAATTTGTCAGCCTCAACCTCTTAATCGATTTAGTAGAATCGTGATCTCGGTTTAAAAATATTTGTGATTATTTATCCAGAATTAATATGCAACATTAATATAAAAGAAATTAATACTTTTATTAAGCACGGACACATTAAATTGGTCAAAGAAAGGGTTAAATGATAAATATCTATTTCAAATAAACGCTGCTCTTTTGATCTTTCTATTCCCTTAAAAACATATCATTTTTCCAGAAAGTAAACAGTCTGACTCATGCTGGTGTGTGTGTGTGTGTGTGTGTGTGTGTGTGTGTGGTTTCTGTTAATAATGGGTTTAATCATTGGCAAACCACCCGAGTGGAGCTCTCACACGCGAGACGTTTCTAAACTCACGGATAAAGTTAGTGAAGAAACTCCCGACGACGCCGATAATGAGCAAGCTAATTTATTCAGCATCTGACATTCAAGGAATATGTCAATACGATATTTAAATATCATCAAACTTACTTGGAGACGGAACGGCTGCTGTGTTGCCATGGGAACAGGACGTTTCCGACAGCGGCGCGATAGCTGTAAACTCCCAGCATGCCGAGCACCAGCGCGATCTTCGACACCAGCGAACAGTGACGCTGAACCAGGAGGAAGATCACAACCAGAGACAACACCGACAACACCGAGAGGAACGGCTTGTGGTCCCCACTGAAACACACACACACACACACACACACACACACACACACACACGTTGAATATTAAACAGCAGAAAGATACAGCCCATATGATTTGAACTCAAACACGTGCAGTATAACCAGTGTTGGGTGTAACTAATTAGTTACTGCAATTTAATTACTTTTCCCTTGAAAATGTAAAGTAAGGGATTACTGTAATTTATCTGTAATTTAATTACAGTTACTTCTGATGTAATTGAGGTAAAAACTGTGTATAGATCAATCCGATCTCACAGCGATTCGTATGCATTTTATGAGGTGTCTAAATATTATGACCGCATTTGTACAAATTCATATGAATTATTGTAAAATATGTATGAAAAAAGTGTGAAATGTCGTGAGATCAGACATAAAACAATAGTGGGTTTAACATCAAAATGTATTGTCTGATGTTTAAAAAAAGTATGTTTTTATAATGTAACCTTCTCCACCTTAATAATTATATGCAATTTTATAGTATTTATTTGAAAGAATTAAAACAGATTCATGTCTATCCTTGTATCATTCAGCTGGTTGAGATTGATATGGGATTTTGAAAGTAATTAGTAATTAAAAGTAATTAAATACTTTTTAGAGAGAGTAATTCTGCCCTACAAAGCAAAAAGGCAGTAACTACGCAGAGTGCAGAACTGAGAAAAATGACTTTTGCTAGGGCTTTTTGCAGTTACTGTACAAACGACTACCATTTTTCTCTAAAACGACACGCATTTAACATAAGATGTTTTGTCACATAACAAAGGATGCCTTGAATGTCATGAAAATTGTAATAATTAATGCTTTACCAAAACTGCAGTTACTGCCTTTTTGCTTTGTAGGGCAGAATTAGTACAGTAATGTAATTAAATTGTTGAGGAGGTAACTAGTAATTAATTACTTTTTTAGAGTAACTTACCCAACACTGAGTATAACACACATGATGCAACAAATCTTCCATGTTCAGTTGTGTTTCTTGTTAACACACTTCCACACACACTGAAATCTCACTGATCCTCGTACGCTGAAACTCACACACTTCCTACTTGGAAAAGTGCAATCCGAGGACGAGTTGCGACACAATTATATTTATAAAACCCAATGTGAATATATATATATATATATATATACATAACCCAATATTGTTTTATCTGTAATACACGACACTGAATGTTCACTTGTCCAGTGGTTTTGGTTTCAAAATAATTTTTCCCATTTATTTTCCATTTTTATTTCTCAAATGAATTCTCGATAAAAACTTTTAAACCATGAACAAATCAAATCAAATAATATAAAATAAAACATCTATGGATAGTCCGACAAGTGAAACAAACTGTGTGTGTGTGACAATTTGAGTATGTATGTGTGTGTGAGAGAGTGTGTATGAGTGAGAGTGTGTGTTGAATGTGTGTGTGAGTGTGTGTTCAGAATGCAGGTGGAGTGCTCCCTTCATCTAAGGTAATCAGGTGTGGGCCACAGAGGCCAGACAGAAAGGTGTGTGTGTGTGTGTGTGTCAGCAGTGCAGACATGATGAGGAGTGTGTGTGTGTGTGAGCAGGTGTGTGTGGAAGTAAAGGAAGGGTGAGTGCTAAAGGTGTGCATGAATGTGACACGGACATGAAGCCACAGAAACTAATGCTCATTACTCACAGACAGAGAGAGAGAGAGAGAGAGAGAGAGAGAGAGAGAGAGAGAGAGAGAGAGAGAGAGAGAGAGAGAGAGAGAGAGAGAGAGAGAGAGAGAGAGAGAGAGACGAGGAGTGAATGAGGCGCTGAAAGAGAACGGAAGAAAAGAAAGAAGAGGGAAAGATGCAGACGGAGAGAGAGAGAGAGAGAGAGAGAGAGAGTCCTGATGCCAGTGACCCTGAGCATCTCTCTGCTCCCCATCTATCCTCTCACAGACAGCCAGAAGAATACTAATGCATCACACACACACACACACACACCTGTCTGCATAAGTGTGCATTTCAGGGTCGGGTTTTAAAATAAGTGCAAGGTCATGTATGATGGTCTCGGATCGCTACGGAGAGTGTGTACGAGTGGAGATACTTCAATGTTCAAAACCCAGTGATCTGCAGTGTGTGTGTGTGTGTGTGTGTGTGTGTGTGTGTGTGTTCTTTATGTTTCCAACACAGATCAAACATTTTAAAAGATAATTGCAACTTTATTTCTTGCAATTGCGACGGTATATCTCATGGTTCTGACATCTTTTCTTAAAATTGTGAGATATAGACTTGCAATTGTGAGTTATAAAGTTCAATTCTAAGGAAAACAATACTTTATAACACACAACTGCAACTTTATATCACGAAATTCTACTTTATATCTCCCAATTGTGTTATAATGTCAGAATTGGAAGAAATAAACAGGAAATTCTGATTAAAAAAAGTCATTTCTCACAATTCTTTATAACACAATTCTGACTTTATAACTCACAATTCTGACTTTATAACACAATTCTGACTTTATAACACACAATTCTGACTTTAAAACACACAATTCTGACTTTATAACACAATTCTGACTTTATAACTCACAATTCTGACTTTATAACTCACAATTCTGACTTTATATCTCACAATTCTGACTTTATAACTCACAATTCTGACTTTATAACACACAATTCTGACTTTATAACACAATTCTGACTTTAAAACACACAATTCTGACTTTATAACACACAATTCTGACTTTATATCTCACAATTCTGACTTTATAACAGACAATTCTGACTTTATAACACACAATTCTGACTTTATAACAGACAATTCTGACTTTATAACACAATTCTGACTTTATAACTCACAATTCTGACTTTATAACACAATTCTGACTTTATAACACAATTCTGACTTTAAAACACACAATTCTGACTTTATAACACACAATTCTGACTTTATAACACACAATTCTGACTTTATAACACACAATTCTGACTTTATAACACACAATTCTGACTTTATAACTCACAATTCTGACTTTATAACAGACAATTCTGACTTTATAACACAATTCTGACTTTATAACTCACAATTCTGACTTTATAACACAATTCTGACTTTATAACACAATTCTGACTTTAAAACACACAATTCTGACTTTATAACACACAATTCTGACTTTATAACACACAATTCTGACTTTAAAACACACAATTCTGACTTTATAACATGCAATTCTGACTTTATAACTCACAATTCTGACTTTATAACTCACAATTCTGACTTTATAACTCACAATTCTGACTTTATATCTCACAATTCTGACTTTATAACACAATTCTGACTTTATAACTCACAATTCTGACTTTATAACACAATTCTGACTTTATAACTCACAATTCTGACTTTATAACACACAATTCTGACTTTATAACACAATTCTGACTTTAAAACACACAATTCTGACTTTATAACACACAATTCTGACTTTATAACACACAATTCTGACTTTATAACACACAATTCTGACTTTATAACTCACAATTCTGACTTTATAACAGACAATTCTGACTTTATAACTCACAATTCTGACTTTAACAGACAATTCTGACTTTATAACACAATTCTGACTTTATAACTCACAATTCTGACTTTATAACACAATTCTGACTTTATAACACAATTCTGACTTTATAACAGACAATTCTGACTTTATAACACAATTCTGACTTTAAAACACACAATTCTGACTTTATAACACACAATTCTGACTTTATAACACACAATTCTGACTTTAAAACACACAATTCTGACTTTATAACACAATTCTGACTTTATAACACGCAATTCTGACTTTATAACTCGCAATTCTGACTTTATAACTCACAATTCTGACTTTATAACTCACAATTCTGACTTTATAACTCACAATTCTGACTTTATAACACAATTCTGACTTTATAACACGCAATTCTGACTTTATAACTCACAATTCTGACTTTATATCTCACAATTCTGACTTTATAACACAATTCTGACTTTATAACTCACAATTCTGACTTTATAACACAATTCTGACTTTATAACACAATTCTGACTTTAAAACACACAATTCTGACTTTATAACACACAATTCTGACTTTATAACACACAATTCTGACTTTATAACTCACAATTCTGACTTTATAACAGACAATTCTGACTTTATAACTCACAATTCTGACTTTATAACACAATTCTGACTTTATAACACAATTCTGACTTTATAACAGACAATTCTGACTTTATAACACAATTCTGACTTTAAAACACACAATTCTGACTTTATAACACACAATTCTGACTTTAAAACACACAATTCTGACTTTATAACACACAATTCTGACTTTATAACACACAATTCTGACTTTAAAACACACAATTCTGACTTTATAACACACAATTCTGACTTTATAACTCACAATTCTGACTTTATAACTCACAATTCTGACTTTATAACTCACAATTCTGACTTTATAACACACAATTCTGACTTTATAACACAATTCTGACTTTAAAACACACAATTCTGACTTTATAACACACAATTCTGACTTTATAACTCAATTCTGACTTTATAACACACAATTCTGACTATAACAAACAATTCTGACTTCATAACTCACAATTCTGACTTTATAACACACAATTCTGACTTTATAACACACAATTCTGACTTTATAACTCACAATTCTGACTTTATAACACACAATTCTGACTTTATAACTCACAATTCTGACTTTATAACACACAATTCTGACTTTATAACACAATTCTGACTTTATAACACAATTCTGACTTTATAACTCACAATTCTGACTTTATAACTCACAATTCTGACTTTATAACTCACAATTCTGACTTTATAACACACAATTCTGACTTTATAACACACAATTCTGACTTTATAACACACAATTCTGACTTTATAACACAATTCTGACTTTAAAACACACAATTCTGACTTTATAACACACAATTCTGACTTTATAACACACAATTCTGACTTTATAACTCACA